GCACCCACCTGGAGCAGGGTGGCGGGCCAGGGGCTGTGGCGCAGGTGCTTGACGATGGAGATGTGGCGGCCCAGGCTGCGGTGCACGCTGCAGCACTCGTCACAGATGAGCACCCCGCGGTTGATGGACGCCCAGCCAGGGTCTGTGGGTGCCATGGGGGTGTCAGCAGGTGTCCCCTCCCCATGCGATCCCCTCCTCATGCCTCCATCCAGCAGGGGGGATGCGTTGCCACAGCAACCATTTCCCAGGAGATGGAGAGGGGCTCAGCCCATCACCAGGGGAAACCCACGGGTTTCCCATAGCAACCGCCAGACAAAAGGGGGGCATGGTTTGCCCCCCCCCCACCATCAGGAGGACAGCTGGTGGCAGGAATGATGCCAGCAGACTCTGATCAGGGGCACTCTGGCTCACTGCGAGGTCACTCACCCCCAGAGCTGCTGGATGGGTGTTTGGGGGGTTCCTGGATGGGGACAGCGTGCCCTGCTATGGGTGGGCACCCCCAGTCCATGGACTCCTATGTAGGGTGGCCATCAGCTCTGTAGCCTCAGCACCCCAGTACAGCCAGCCCACAGGACACCTCAGCTCCGGGGCAGGTGCCATGGCCCCCCACGCTGCTGTGCCCCTCCAGCCCCGCCGCTGGCCCCGGCCTGCCCTGCCGGACTGGAGCCCTTTGTGTCCCCGCCGGGAACAAAGGGCCGTTTGAGCAGCCGCGCTGGCCCCGCGCTGGCACCAGCCCCGGCACCCGCGGGGGCACCGCTCCCGGCCAGGCAGCAGCTCCCCACGCCTGCACCCCAAAAACGGGTCCTGGGCACGAGGGGGTCTGGCCCCGTGGTGTGGGCGTTGAGCTGTTCACAAGAGCATGAGGACAGGATTTGAGGACCCCCGCTGGGTCGCAGTCCCCCCCTCCCGGGAAACGCAGCCAGGCACGGGGTGACGATGCTGAATCGTTCCCAGGTGTCCCCTCTGCCGGGCACGACGGGGGACTCCCGGCTCCACCCCCTCCCCTCGTTTCTGTATGTCCTACACAAACACCACACTGTCCCACGGAGGGGGCAGCCCCAAGGCCGGGGATACAGAGCCTGTGGGGGTGGTCCCACTGGCCTGCTCGATGGCCCTAAGTGGGGACAGTGCCCCCACGACCTCACAGAGGGAGGAAGGCAGGCAGACAGCCAAGCCTCCCCCACTTCCTTCCTCCCTGAAGGGTCTCGGACCCCTCCCCACGCACCCCCCCCCTCCCCAGAGGACCCCGTTTTGGGGGGCACGGCATCCTGCCATTCTGCAGTGCCCCGGGGCCGGGGTGGGGTGGCCGAGGGGAGTGGTGGCCCCCCCAGCCTGGCAGCCCCGCGCACGCAGATGGCAGCGCCTTGGCAGCCGGTGCGGCGGCATCTGTGCCTTCGCACCCGCTGCCCACGGCCACCGCCGGGAACAGGACGCTCCGTGCGGGGGGAGCCGGCCCGCGGCCCCCCAACCGGGTGGATCCAGGGTATCCCCGGGGCAACAGCCCCTCCCGCCCTCGGACAGCTGGGATGTGGTGGGATGCGGGTAGGCACTGCAGCAGCTCGGGGAGTGCTTGCACAGGGGCACCCCAAACCCTGGGAGGATCCTGGAGTCCGAGGGAGCTCCCAGCACCTCAATCCCTGCATCGGGATGTGGGCTGACACCGGGACTCCCAGCACTCGGCCCCGCACTGGTGATGGCAGGGCTGGGGCCAGCTGGCATCCCTGCATGGATCCAAGGGAGGCCGGGCAGAGGGATCAGGGCACCCCACGGGCACCCCCCATGCAGGGCCAGGCAGCGCATCCCCAGCAGCGACAGCGGGTGCTCCCAGCGCGCTAGGAAACGGCCTCTGGACTTTATAACTCATTTCCTCCCATGGCTGCCAGGCGATAAGAGATTGGAAGAAACTGTTTTCCATTTCCCCCGGCCGCAGCAGGGAGCCCCGGCACCGCCCCGGGAACCCCTGGCCCCCCGCTTGCCCGCAGGCACGGGGGATGCCTGGAGGCAGGGCAGCCTTTCGCCCACGCGTGCCGACAGCTCTCCTGGCAGGATCCGGCCATTGGCACGTGGCCGGAATAATTTCGGCACAGCCTTGGCCCGCGGGCAGCTTTCCGGGGCCGGCTCGGAGACCCGTTCATTCATTGCCGTGGGGCCACCTGCACTGGCTACGGGCAGGTTTGGGGTCCGGCCCTACCGTGGGCAGGGTTTGGGGGGTGCCAAACCCACCGTGACGCCCACGGGAGCGTGCCCAGCGTGGGGGCTGCGGGCACCGGCACCGCCGGGGATGGGAATGGTCTTGCCCAGGCTCGGCTCTGGCTTGCAGCGCCCGGCTCACCCGACCGGCACCGCCAAGCACGGATCCGGCTGGGGTGGGTGCTGGCTCTGGGGTGCAGGAGGGTGTCCCCCATCATTTACAGGGTCACCAGCGCTGCTGGCACCGACCGGCGCGTCCCCAGGCTGTGGCAGCAGCCCCCGCGCTGGGGTGAGAAAGCTGCGGGTGGTGCAGGGGGGCGGTGGGGGCATGCGGGGTGCGCCGGAGCGGCACGAAGGAGGGCATGCAGGGGTATCGGGGTCATGTCTGGAGTGTATTAGGGTATTCCAGGAGGCTAAAAGGGGGTGCGCCACGGGGGGGTCATGAGTTTCATCAAGGCGTTTTACTGGGGGCACATCAGAGGGTTCCTGGGGGCAGACGGGGGACTCAGTGGGGCTCCTGGGGTGTGCAGAGTAGGGTGCAGAAAAGAATAACCAGGGCGATCCTGGGGTCACTCGGGGGGTGCAAAGGGGTCTCGATGTGGGGTGTAGGAGAAGAAAAAGGGGTCATGGGGAGAAGTCCGGGGGCAAACACCTCGGCGTACAGAGGGGGCTGACGGGGGTGCGGGGGACACGCCGGGGGTGCCATGGGGCGCAGAGGGAGCTCTCGGTGGCCCGGGGGTCGCGCAGGGCAGGCTCCGGGGGCCAGCAGGAGGCGCGGGGGGGCTGGCGGGGCCGTGCCGGTGCCGATGCGGGGGGGCCCTTACCTGGGGCGCTGCAGTCGGCGCACACCTCTGCCCGCGGCGCCTTCCGGGACATCCTCAGCGGCGAGGCGGGCCCGGGCCCGGGCCTCTGCGCCAGCGTGGGGCGGCGGCGGCGCCCCCGGGCCCGCCGGGGG